AGAGATTAAACTTCAAACAAACTTCATTGGTTTTGGGATATCCCAAAATTATGAAAGATGCTTCTTTAAGGCATGCTAGAGATAGCTAAATGGATCAAAGGATTTGGAGGGAGAACAGAAACAGGGTATTTAGTTTAATGATCAGCCGGGGTGCTGGGGTGGGGGGAGGGGGGAAGGAAGGACCAAATGGACTACCCTGCTCCTATTTTCTATGTTTCCATAAACTCAAGCCTTTCTTTCTAAGACTCCCTTAAATTTCTACTCAACAGAGGCACTCAGTAAGAGAAAACTCGTATGATTCGATCAAGCAACACCTGAGAAAGAAAATGTACACATTTGCAAGAGAGTGCAATTTGGATTATATTTTCATTGTGATTATGAATTGTCCTAGACTTTTGCAGGGTAGCTACATTAAGATCTTATGAACTCCCACTTCCTAGATGTACAGTTTTACCTGATGGGCTCATAAGGAACCTTATCAAAGAAAAGCTGAAATTACATTGGTCTCCTCTACTGGTCTACAGAAAAAAAATACAGGAACATTTTTATGTAGATTCTTTATACAGTTCAATAACATACAAGAGCCAAAATTTTCTCATAGTCCGTGATTGAGTCACAGCTGTAACTCGCAGGCTGGTAGCATCCGCTCAATCACTGTAAGCAGGAGAAACTCAAAAATATTAATTTCATATTAAAGCAGGTTTAATAGACTTAGTGCTCCACTGAAGGATCAGATCTGGACCACAACAAGATGCTTTCTTTGCAGAAACACACTCCTGGACTGTATGTCTTTGGCCAAGGAGAAATAATTTGATTTAAGGTTTTGATATTTTGTACTTTGTTATAACCACTTGACCTTATACAATGGTTACATTTCAGTCTCCTTCAGTTCAAGGTAAAGTGGAGAGAGGGTGTGACCGCCTATCAAACTTGCCTGGAGACAAGATCATGTGACCAGGTTGTCACGGAAATGAATATCTGGCTCAAAATGACTCAAAGTAAGGAGTAGAGCTGGATGAACACAGCAGGCCAAGCAGCAGAGGAGCAGGAAAGCTGACGTTTCGGGCCTAGACCCTTCTTCAGAGAACTCTCTGAAGAAGGGTCTAGGCCCGAAACATCAGCCTTTCTGCTCCTCTGATGCTGCTGGGCCTGCTGTGTTCATCCAGCTCTACACCTTGTTATCTCAGATTCTCCAGCATCTGCAGTTCCTACTATCTCCAAAGTAAGGAGTAAACAAGTTTCAGCACCCTGACACAAAAGAAGCAGCAGGAAGTCATGCTACACACCAGGTCACAGATCTTCAAACTCAGATTTTCACGGAGTCGCTGAGATTCCAAGGATCTTTAAAAATAATTCCAGATTCAAAAAATCTCTCTCCCATTTCCGACAGATCTCATTTGCTTACTAAAGCAACATTCTGGTATGAGGAGGGGCGGCAAGATGTTGCTCACACAAAGAATGTCTGTACTCAGCAAAGTCATTTGAACTGAGTTCTGACGGATCATTATTTTTTTGCTGCAGCAAGGGTACAGAAGGTCTGCAGTCCCATAAAACCAAAGTTATTTAAATTCACAGCTGTTGTAAAAATGAAAAAAAAATTTAAAAGGCCACAGTTGCAGACACGAGAGAAAAACATGTGTTAGTGAATACAATAGATGATTGTTGACATTTCTCACAAGACATTATTAATGTTTGGCTTTTCACAACATAGCAGGGGATTCCAAGTTTACAGTTTGAGTGACAGTTGAAGGAATGTACGGTTAGGAAAACATGTTGTTCCTACAAAGGGATCAAATATTTGAGTAAATTTACATATTTTCTAATGGCCGTTCATGATTGCAAGAATTCTTTTCAGTAAGGAAATTACATAAGTCCAAGAGCTGTACAGTTATAACGGGGAACTTCAATTATCCAAAAATAAAGTGAGACAGTTGTAAAGGCACTTGATACAGTGCTACTCGAGACTTTTGAGCAAAGTTATAGTTCACAGAATATAAGACAGTGGAAACATATATGAAACTGGCTGAATGAAAAGAAACAAAGTATTCATTAAATAAGAGATAGTAAGAACTGCAGATGCTGGAGTCAGAGATAACAGTGTGGAGCTGGAGGAACACAGCAGGCCAGGCAGCAGGAAAGTTGACGTTTTGGGTTGGGACCCTTCTTCAGAAATGGGGAGGGGGAAGGGAGCTCAGAAATAAAGAGAGAGAGGAGGGATGGGGCTGGGGAAGGTGATAGGTGAGTTCAGGTAGGGAGTGGTGGGGATTGGTCAGTGAGGTGGGAGGGGCGGATAGGTGGGAGAGAAGACCCACCTCACTGACCAATCCCCACCACCCCCTATCTGCACTCACCTATCACCATCCCACCTACCTTCCCCAGTTCCAAGCCTCCTCTCTCTCTTTATTTCTGAGCTCCCTTCCCCCTTCCCATTTCTGAAGAAGGGACTCGACCCAAAACGTCAACTTTCCTGCTCCTCTGATGCTGCCTGGCCTGCTGTGTTCCTCCAGCTCCTCCTCCTCTATCTCTATTCATTAAATAAGATTGTTCAGGAAGGAGTAAAGTTTGTTGTGGAGTTCCCCAGGGACCTTAGCCCTGCCTAATAGATTAATGATCTGGACCTTGGTTTACACCACAGTTTCATAACTTGGGAATGATACAAAACTTGGAAGCATTGTGAACTGACAGGATGATAACTTAAACTTCAAAATGCCATAAGCAAGTTGGTGGAATGAGTGGACAAGTGGCAGATATTCAATGGAGAGAAAGTAACATGATTTAGGTAATGATGCTCATTTAAAAAACTGGTGCAGGAATTATGGGCTAAACAGCCTCCTTCTGTGATTCATTTTGGTTGGAACAACATGGAGAAACAATATAGAATAAAGGGTGCACCTCCAGGTTGTAGGAGGAGGAGGACCAGGGTGTATCTGTACATAATTAAAAGTGACAGGATAGGTTTAGAGATCAGTTATTAATGCATACCATTTCCTAGGCTTTATTAATTAAAGAGCATAACAGAAAAGAGGTTGAATTTCTATCAAACATTAATTTGCTTTCAGCTCAAGCAAAGATCTGAAGGCTTTGGAGAGATTGTAGAAAAGTCACAAGAATGCTTCTGAGGATGAGGCACTTCAGTTACTTTGATTGAAGAAGTTGGGAATGTTCTCCTTCAAAAGACAGAAGGTAGAGAGGAGATGTGACACTCAAAATCATGACAGATTTGAACAGAGCAGATAAGGAGAAACTGCTCCCACTTTTGAAAAGATGGAGAAATAAGATGCACAATTTAATGAATTAGCAAAAGGAGCAAAACATTTGCAAGGACCAAGTGATTAAGGTATGGAAGGCACTACCTGAAAGGGTGGTGGAGGCACATTCATCTGAAGCACCTGGGCTAATGATAAGATTCTTGGTAGTGTGGATGAGCAGAGAGATGTCAGTGTCCATGCACATAGATCACTGAAAGTTGCCACCCAGGTTGATAACGTTGTTAAGAAGGCGTACGGTATGTTAGGTTTTATTGGTAGAGGGATTGAGTTTCGGAGCCACGAGGTCATGTTGCAGCTGTACAAAACTGTGGTGCGGCCGCACTTGGGAGTATTGCGTACAGTTCTGGTCACCGCATTATAGGAAGGAAGTGGAAGCATCGGAAAGGGTGCAGAGGAGATTTACCAGGATGTTGCCTGGTATGGAGGGAAGGTCTTATGAGGAAAGGCTGAGGGACTTGAGGCTGTTTTTGTTAGAGAGAAGAAGGTTAAGAGGTGACTTAATAGAGACATACAAGATGATCAGTGAATTAGATAGGGTGGACAGTGGGAGCCTTTTTCCTCGGATGGCGATGGCTAGCACGAGGGGACATAGCTTTAAATTGAGGGGTGATAGATATAGGACAGATGTAAGAGGTAGGTTCCTTACTCAGAGAGTAGTAAGGGCGTGGAATGCCCTGCCTGCAAAAGTAGTAGACTTGCCAACTTTAAGGGCATTTAAATGGTCATTGGATAAACATATGGATGATAATGGAATAGTTTAGTTTAGATGGGCTTCAGATTGGTTTCACAGGTCGGCGCAACATCGAGGGCCGAAGGGCCTGTACTGCGCTGTAATGTTCTATGTTCTATGTTCACCTGAAAAGGAATCAGATTGTTATCTAAAAAAAAAATGTAGCGTTATTACAAGAAAGTGCAAGAGGTGCATTGTTTATTCAGATAGCCAGTCAATATAAGCACAAACAGGGCCTAATAGTCTCCTTCTGCACGATTACAGTTGTGTGATTCAGTAAAGACTGTAAACAGAGCTTTAATTGGTTTCATCTGAACATGGCTTGAGGTCTGCTGCTCAAGGTGCATAGTGTGAATTGGCATGGAGTGTAAGTGCCAAGGATAACGGGCAAGTTGGCATTTGTTAGTATGAGGACTACAGGGAACAACGCTGGTGGGTGGTGAGGGACAGTTTAGGGTAAAGCTGTTATGGGGCCGTACCGATGACCTGTTAATTCTGAAAATGTTACATTCTATTTATTGAATTAACTTAATACCATTTTTTCTAGAAATTGTTACATATTCATTCATCATAATACATTAGAAATGCACAGAAAAACGGACATATCTGAAATATATATATATACACACATATTGCATTAGGACACAATTTAACACTCTACCCTTTGGCAGGTTCAGTGGATGAGATTTAAAGCATTTAATCAGGTAGGAAGTGGTGAGTGAGAACGTCCGCCCTAGTTGCCTGTAGTGGAAAAGCTCAGTGATGGCTTTCCTGTCCCATTGCCAATTGAAGGCATTAAGGCCCCCTAATCAGGGGCTACTGATATGCATACAGTGGTGGACAGCAGATTCATCGTATCAGAAGCTCGAAAAGGGATTCTGGGAGGTGTCATATTCAAAGGCACTCAGTGACTGATCAAGTATTGGTCAGAGAGGATTAGCTACACTACAGGTCACCTCCTTTCCAGACTCCCTTGTAAATCTGTTTCACTATCCACCTCCCACCTGTGGCCTGCGGTCCCCAGGCAATCCTAAGCCTCAGGCGTGTGCATTACGAGCAGCAGTCACCCACTTCACTCGTGGTACTAGCAGCAAAGAGCTGTTCAGTTGGCTGGGAACTGTGTGTGGAACATCCCAGGCAAGGCCCCGCAGCTGCCCAATTAAGTGCCCAATTGGTACATAATGTGGCTGATCTTCTTGAAAAGAGAGCGACCTACTCTCAGAACATTAAAATATTTTGACTGGGTTGGGTGAGGGAACTAGCAAGACAAGGTTGTTGGCACTGTGGATAAGAATGCTGGCCCAAACTCAAAGCTAGGCCACATGCACCTTTTTGCATAAAAAATTATGACAATCTGCCTCTTCAACCCCTTGACACACTGCATTTTTTTCCCCTCGATGCTCCAGTCTCTTCCAAAAGCACATCTCTTCTCCCCTCTCCATAGAATGTTACTCTGTAGCTTGTTCTCAAAAGCTCTCCAACTGTAAAGGAACCATTTGTGCAGATCGTGAACTGTTGGGCTTGTTTTGGTTTTGCAACAGATTTCAGATTATCCCCCTAATATTCTGTCAAACATGACATAGTGAAGTATGTATTTTGATTGCATATTTTTGTTTTTCTTCACGGTTAGCGTTTTGAATAGGAACCATTTGACATGGCATCCCGTAATAATGATGAATCCAGTGAGCTTAAAAGTCATTTCACTAGTTACTTTGACTTATTCAATGCTTAGGTTTTACTTAGGCAAAATTCACAACTTTCAAGACCAGCATCAGAAATTCTTCTCAGTTTTAAGTCTCCATTACAGTGCCGTCCAGTTTTCCATAAAACTTGTTCCAGGTCTTCGGCAGTACTGATTAGATTGCATCAACCAGAAACTGGAAATCAAAGCTCCAGTTGTAAAGGAAGCAGCAAGTAAAGTTGCCTCTCCTCTCCAGAATCATAGTTTTTAAAGGAGCTCTTCAAATATGGAGGCATTTCAAATCCTAAAATCAATTCTTCCAAAATTTGAGAACTGAAAGATGTTCTCTCCCAGCTTGCCTCGAGATAAGCACAGTCCCTTTCAAACTAGAACGCTTCAGTGACTGTATTATCTCCTCTGTAAAATAATACAAAAATTGTTTTTAGCATAAAGGGGAAGCATTACTACTGCAAAAGTGAATAACCAAAACATTGGATTAAAAAAGGAGAAACACTTAAAGATATTTTCTAATCACTTTTTCAAGTTCCATTAAATGTAGACACACAGATGTAACAGTAGATTGAAGAATTTTTCTTATGAAAAGTTTTATTTTAGTCTTTAAATCATTTGAGCCGTGAATTCTTCCATAGTAAGAAATTAACATTTTATAGCATCATTGTAACCAGATAAAGATTATCCCAACATTTCTCCTAAGTACATATTGATTCCAATAAAAAGTTCTGAAGCTTAAACTGAAGCAAATGATTATCAGTGTTCCTTTCAAGCATCAAACATGTGCATTATCAATGGCTCAGCTGATTAAATTAGTAATTTAACCACATGGGTCAAAAGAAATCATTCCTACTTTGGCTGAGATAAATTAATTCAACATTAAAAAGAGACAAAGCTTCAATAATCTACCAAAGATACAATAATACCACATCAGATTATTATTACATTATCATTATCTCACATTATTCCAACTAATAGAAATCTTAAACTGGGAGAAAGGTAAAGCAGATTTAGAACTTTATTCCCTAACCATAAATAATTAATACAATACTAGAGTACACCCTTTGGCCCAGCAAGCCTGCACCGATTCCTCATCCTTTTTAGGCCTATTTATTGTCCATACGTGGTTTCTATTCCTCTGTTCACCTCCCATTCATGCATCTATCAATTTACACCTTAAACATTCTTAATGTACCTGCTTCCCCCACCTCCAGTGGCAGGGGTTCCAGGCACCTATCACCCTCTGTGTGAAAAATTTTCCCCACACTTCTTTTCTAAACTTTCCCCCTCTCACCTTGAACCTGTACGTTCTTGTAGTTGACTTTTCCACCCTGGGGAAAAAACCTCTGAATATCCATCCTATCAATGCCTCTCACAATTTGGTAGAACTCTATTAGGTCACCTCTCAGCCTCCGTCTTTCCAGCAGATACAATCAGAGTTTATAAAACCCTCCAGACGAGGCAACATCCTGGTAAACTTTCTCTGCACCCTCTTCAAAAGCATCCACTTCCTTCTGGCAGAATGCGACCAGAACTGCACACAATATTCCAAATATAGTCTAACTAAAGTATTATACAGCTGTAACATAACTTGCTAACTTTTATATTTGATGTTGTGGCCAATGAAGGCAAGCGTGCTGTTGACTTCTTGACCACCTGATCCACCTGTGTTGCCACTTTCAGGGATCAGTGGACCTGTACACCCAGATCCCTCTGTATGTCAATGCTCCTAAGGGTTCTGCCATTTATTGTGTATTTTGCACCCGAATTTGATCTTTCAAAATGCATCACCTCGCATTTGTTGGGATTAAATTCCATCAGCCATTTCCCTGCCTAAATCTTCAATCTATCTACACCCTGCTGTATCCTTTGACAATCCTCTTCACTACATGTAACTCCACAAATTTTGCTGTTATCCGCAAATTTACTAACCAACATTTTCCTCCAGATCATTTGTATATATATTACAAACAACAAAAGGTTCCAGCTCTGATCCCTGCAGAACACCACTAGTTACTGATCTCCATTCCAAAAAGCAACCTTCCACTGCTCTGTCTATGACCAAGCCAATTATGTACCCATCTAACCAGCACATCCCAGATCCCATGAGACTCTAGCTTTTCTACCAGCCTGCCATGAGGTACCTTACCAAATGCCTGACTAAACCCCGTGTAGGCAATATCCACTGCCCTTCCCTCATCAATCATTCTTGTTACCTCAAAAAACTCAATCATATTGGTGAGACACGACCTTCCCCACACAAACTCATGCCTATCACTAAAAAATCATTCGCTTTTAAATGTGACTAAATCCTGTCTCTCAGTATTTTCTCCAACAACTTCCCTACCACTGACATCAGGCTCACCAGCCTGCAATTAGCTGGATTCTCTGTGTTTCCCTTATGAAACAAATGGAACAACATTGGCTATTCTTCAGTCCTCTGAAACCTTGTCTGAAGCCAAAGAGGGTGCAAAGGTATCTGTTAAGGACCCAGCTATTTCCTCCCTTGCCTCCTATAGTATCCTGGGGTAGATTCCATCTGGCCGTGGGGATGTGTCGACCTTAATACATTTCAAGACACCCAACACTTCCTCCTTTATTATGTTGACCTGCCAGAGAGTACTCACACACCTTTCCCTAACGTTAACATTCCTCACAACCGTCTCTTTGGTAAATGTTGTTCTAAAGTACCGATGTAAAGATTAATGCGAAAGAAAATCAAAAAAATGAACTTCAGAGTAAATGGCATCTTTATTGAACTTGCATAAATATATTGGAAAAATAAATGCATAAAGCCCAAGTATTACAACACTGCAGCATAACAAAACATGAAATTGATGTGCTCCACCCTCAACCCTATCTACTGATTTAGTTGTTCGCTATAATGCTGTGGTGAAACTTTCCACTGAGAGGAGAGAAGAATAACTATGAGTCAACAAAGTGTGTATATCCTGATTACTAACTCTTGATTAGCTTAAGCAGATTTCTGGGTGTTCAGTCAGCAGTTCTCTCAGAAACAGGAGGGCTATAACCACATCAGAATAGATACCGAAAATCCCATATCAACTTAAGAATCCTCTTGCCTTCTCACTTATTTTGCTGATTACATAAACATATTTGTAAAGGAATGATATTGATACGTTCTGAATAACTGATTTGGAGATATCAAACCCAATGACAGGAAGTTAAACCCATCCAATAATAACTGATTCAGCTCAGTCTGTAACTTTTCTAGCCAACTCCCTGGTGTGGTTATCAGTATTCACTATCATAAACACAAGCAAACAAAAGAAAAAAAAAACCACAAACCACAATAAATATGTACCTTTTTCCTCTCTTCTTTCAAACCTCACCTTATAAACAGACATCATTTTTGACTGGAGATGAAAAGCCCACTATTATTCTTCATCTGATTACTGGTAACTTGACGAGAATGATCAAAAGTGAAAGGCTTTCTAGTTTTTTTCTCCTCCATCCATCTAAATTGACATTTAAAAACTGCTGTTCAAGAAATAGCCTACGTCCACTCTCCATTCTGGTAAAAAGAGGGAAATGAAGATTGACAGCCACAGACCTAGGAAGATTTTCTTTCATCAAGTTGCTAGCTACTAGTAATATGGAATCATATCTCACCTGGGTCATTTTCCCGAATTGTAACCAGATAAAATAATCCCTGGCTTGACAAGAGGGCTGAGACCTGAGGAAAGAGCCTATCCATGACTTCACGACCTCTTTTGCCACCAGCCCAAGATGCCTCAATGCCATGACTACCTACCTGAGAGGGGGAGAAAAAAAAGAGTTAACTGCAGAAGGTTTCAAAAAAAAAAACACTAATTTTCCTTCTCAAATTAACCCGAAATACACTGAATACACAAAAAAACTTGAATGCTGCGTAGTGAAAGCATGACACTTCCAATGGCTTTGGTGCCACCAGTTAAAGAAATGTACAAGTACAGAAAGGAAATGACAAAAAGCTTCCAAGCCAAATAGAGAACCAGGTACACCCCGATCATTTAAAACCACCAACATTACATGATAATCTCCAAATGAAGTTTTGGTCGTGATTTCCAACAGCAGTATCCACTCAGTTTGATGTAGACATTTTCAACTTTATTTTGTCAGTGCTATGGGAATGTGGCTGAAGGAGAAAAGTCCACTGAAATGGCTTACTGTAAGATTCCCTTATGCCATTGCTGCACCGAGATCAACATTCAGGAGCAAGAAGATTACTACTTGCTGTAATACAGCTAGACTCTCTGCGCAAGTGATGCTTTTACTGCTAGAAATCAAACATGATTCAATTTGCATTATCACAACCAGGAACATTTGTTAGGTTAGGACTTATTTTAAGAGTATTTCTGGAAAAGGACTACCTTGGATCTTTTGAGCAGCTTATCACAGTTTTAACACTCTAGCATTAGCACAGCTTGGGACACAGGAGCAAAATTACACAAAATGTCAAACTTCATTTGAAAAGTTAGACAGTTAAACTTTTATTTACTAACATATACTCACTTCTTCTGAGGGAGTCACCACGTAAGGTGGGTTAAACACTAACACATCAACTTGATTTTGCAGCCGTGGCAATAATCCTGTAACCTATTTACAATAAATATAAAAATTATTTTCAGCATCAGAACAAAAGAACAGGAACAAAACTTGATGCCAACTTTTTAGTTTGTTACTTTACAAATTAAACTCCTTTTCATAGGTTTTCCATTCAGTCCTAAATGAGATGCATCTCTGGCAGGATGGAACTTCTGCTCAACAAAGAAATGCTCCATGTTTCAGTGCATTGCACCAGGCATCAAATCCAAATTATGACTAGAATTCGGAAAGATTAACTACATATGAATTAACTCTAATATTAGTCACATAACACAAAAAGGAAAAATTGGAAAAGGAGGAGAAAAATAATCCTTGGGCTGACTTCTCCCAACAATTGGTTCAGTATCTACTTCAGCTTTTTTCATCTAGAGTTTCTCCCTGTTTGCTCCAGTGAGTTTTCTCCCTCAATTTTACACAGCTCACCTGACTGGCTGGAATTAATTGTATATTCTAGTTGCCCCTGAGGTGGTGATGGTGAACTGTCTTCCTGAAATGCTGCAGTCCACATGCTTTGGGTTGACCCACAATTCTCTTAGGGAGGGAATTCCACGATTTCGACCCAGCAACACTGGAGGAAAGGCAATATATTTCTAAGTCAGGATGACAGGGAGGGGAATGTGCAGGTGGTGGTGTTCCATGTATCTGCTAAACTTGTCCTTCTAGATAGAATTGGTTGTGGGTTTGGAAAGTTCTGTCTAAGGATCTTTGGTGTATTTCTGCAATGCATCTTGTAGACAGTACATACTCGTGCTACTGAGCATCAGTGGTGGAGGGGGCAAATGCTTGTGGATTCAATGACAATCAAGCAAGCTGATGGTGCAATGTTTCTTGAGTGTTGGTGGCAGTGCACCCATCCAAGTAAGTGGGGAGCTTTCCATCACAGACAGGTTAGCACCCAGAATTGGTGACGGGGTCAGGAAGTCCTGGTGGGGTAGTATGGTTAGTCTTCATTCTTCAGAACCATCAAGAGAAGGCCACAGTATCAAAATCTGCCAGGCTGGTGTGAAGTTTCCACCTGCACTCAGTGCAGCATCCATGGCCCAGAGGAAAGACAAGCAGTGTTGCAAAAAAGCTAATAACTTTCTCCGCTCCATGAGGGTAAATAAAGTGTTGTCTCTCAATTTCCTCACAGTCGAACTCTGCTACTGCACTCACCTCTCATTAAGGCTTATGGTCTACCTCTCACACTATTACTCTCAGCATCTTCCCTCAATCGCTCACATGCACCCCATCCTCCCAAACCAATAACCCTTCACACTCTCTGTGCTTCCCTACTTTCCCACTTGGGATACCTCACCACTTTTCTTCTACCTGCACCAAAACTAACAGCTGTACCAGCATTTTCATCTCACTCAATCGCTATCTTTCTGTAACTGCAGGAAGGACACCACAGAAAAAGGCAGAGGGAGCCACAGCAAATGGTGGGGTGCCAATATTCGTTTCCTTTCTTATGTGAGGAGACTCCTTGAATGCACAGGTGAGGATAGAAACTGCTTAGGTAGGGATGCAAAGACCTCTATGACCCACTAACCAAATAAGATTCATTGTCAAGTACTGTGCTGCACCCTCATTACAACTGTGAATGAATTCTTAACATTTCAAACTTCTATATCTACTTCACAATTCATTCCCTCTCACCTTCTGCAGGCAACAGTGGCATCTAAACATTCTCTACCATAGAAACAGCATTCTCTATCTCCTCCCTAATCTCTGACAAACAAGTCACAAATGCCTCAGAGGAAGCAACAAGGCTGTCTTCTGAACCTCTAACAGCTTAGATAAGGACACCTCGGTGGGGACTTTTGCTAGATTAGAGTCGGAGCACATGATGGTGAGCATATCATTACACATCACCATAGCTGGCCAAGGCAAAAAAACACAAAGGTTGCTGACTAGATTCCTGCTCAGTCCCAGGCAGCAGAGGACTTCATGGTATTAGCCATTAATAACTTGGTCAAAATGCACACGCTGAAACAGAAGAAGCAGTCAGGTTTGTTGGAGACACGCAGAAAACTGCATCATAGGTTGGAGAAGATCCCCTCCAACACCAACAATATGATCCAAAAACAGAAGCTGTTCAAAAAGCTCAGCAAGTCTGGCACCATCTGTGAACAGAAATCAATTAACGTTTCGGGTCCAGTGACAATTTCTCAGAACCAACAATATCATGCTTACTCTAGCATGTGCATATCTGGCTGCTTCCATGGACAGGTTTGCAGTTGCCATGGAGAGCCAGGTCCAACCCATGCAATGCTTTTTGGATATGTCTGGTCTCCATCAATGTAGCCATTGATGCTCAGAAAGACAACGAGGGAAGAGAGCCCTTGACCTCATTTCAATAAGAGAATTAAAGCTCCAGAAGAGGAATCACATTGCATATTCGCTGGGCATCAAGTTCTAACATCTACCTCTGTATTGTTGCCAATGCCTCTCTCTCATCTGCACAACATTCGATGGAAGATAAACAACTGAGAGCTTCCTGTACTTTTAGTGCATCATGAGGACACTTATGGCTGGAATCACTGCATTAGAAAACTGCTTCACATCTGCTGGAGGTTGATGCTGGTTCTGAGCTTCCAAATGCATCTGTTTTTCATCAATATTTGTGGGTGCTCACAATACAGCATACACAGAGACAACAGCTTCTCTACCCTGGATCCCTTAAGGATGTTTTCAACGAGCCTATGTGAGCAATATTAGAAACAAAGCAACTCCTCAGTAATGTGATCAGTCAGAAGTTGCAGCACACACAATTAACATTTAAACAGTGTCCCAAACATTGGAACATGTAAGCATCCATAGGGATGTTTCTACATGGACCTTTTATATTGTAGACCTGATTGCAAGGTATTTGGCACACATACAGTAGGAGATTGTCAGTGTGGTAGAAAATGATAACTTCTCCCATTATCTCCTACATTAATCAAGAAAGGAAATGTCACAGTTAAGATAATACTATGCACATTTTATAGTCCAAGCAGCTTGTGAATCTTGCGCAGGCTACAACACTTTGAAATGTGAATACGAATTCTAGAACTTAGGTGAAACTTCTGTGACCCTGTGGCTAACAGAGTTGAAGCCTATCATGCATGATGGAAAATTATGCTAACTTTACATAAACACCAAAATTGGTCTACTGTAAAAGGAAGAAGTAAAACCAGACTGCTGACTAGTCTGATACTAAAGATTATTCTACCTTTGTGCTTGCAAAAAGGGATAAAATAAAACTGATAAGAGGAACCATTGAAACAGCTGTCATCTGAGATTCCAAGGGTTGTGTAAACAGAGTCATGAAGATTCTGATCAAGGGGATACATTATTGATCATTCTGGAAGGTTGGAAGTAAAAGACGCAAGAAGGAAAAAAAGACATATCAGAGATACTGAAAACAACTTGAGACCCACCATGGAGAAGAAAAGGCCATCAGTTTGGGACTCAGAAGACTTCAACTCAGCGTGAACGTGGCCAGTTCATCACACATCGATAGACTTAAACTTTAACACATGATGCTTACAGTGCTCTGTGTAGCAATGCAGTGTAGTGAGTTGAATACAAAGTAATTAAGAATTAATGAGATACATGTAGATTAGAAGTGATTTAAATACTAATAAAGATTAACTTTTACTTGCCTCTAGTTGGAATGTCTTTTTGTCAGTCACTTCAGTTGACTCATTAGTCCAAGGATCAACACTTTACAGTCTGCCTGGACACTACTTTTGCTTAACAGCCATTACTAGTATTAACGTGTATGGTTCAGTGAAGTTTCCCCCAGGGTAGGGGAGAGTAAAACTAGAGGGCATAGGTTTAAGGTGAGAGGGGAAAGATTTAAGAGGGGCCTAAGGGACAACTATTTCATGGTGCATGTACAGAATGAGCCACCAGAGGAAGTGGAGGCTGGTACAATTACAACACTTAAAAGACATCTGGCATGGGTACAAGAATAGGAAGTGTTTAGAGGGATACGGGCCAAGTGCTGGCAAATGAGACTAGCTTAGTGTAGAATATCTGGTCGGCATGGATGAGTTGGACAAAACGGTATGTTTCTGCGCTGTACATCTCTATGATATGGTCAAGATTGCTTGTGGCCAGGATTTTTAGTAGACATGCACGAGGTTCACATCCAGAAGATATTTTCAAATCAACCTGTTCAGTAATGTTAGTATGTACCTCTTGAGCAGGAGAGACTAAAATCCAAGCATCCTGGTTCAGAAGAAAGGACAAATCCAGAATTCTGTGATTACAGATGTTGTTAACCCATATGTGAGAATGCGTCTAATTAAAGGAATTCCCCTCTTGAAAGGCTTCACTTAGCGCACAAGAAGTGCCAGCTTTCTTCGAGGTAGAAAAGAAACCCTGCTCTGCCAACTTCAGGTGTGATGGCAGCCAATTTTCATTTCAATTGTGCAATTGCAATTCAGATAAGGGTGGAAGTTAACATGGGTCATGCTTCAGAGTGTCTCTGGGTCAGCCTGTTAAACTAGGTGACCACCCCCGAAACCGGCAATGGGATTAATGATGACCACAAATCCATTGCACGTTGTCAGAAAAACCCATCTGGTTCACTAATGTCCTTTAGGGAAGGAAACTGCCATTCTTACCTGATCTGGCCTACATGTGACTCCAGACCCACAGCAATGTGGTTGACTCTTAACTGCCCTCTGGGTAATGAGGGATGGGCAATCAATGCTGGCCTAGCCAGTGATGCCCTCACCCCACGAATGAGGAGAAAACAAAACCTTCGTATTCCTTTCAGCCTTAACCTTCCTGTCGACCCCATTGAGTTTGATATTCGTCACATTCACACTTAGGAGTTTTATTTAACTCTTCATCTCTCCACTTTACCCAAGCTCGAGGCGTACAGCTTAGTCATATCAAACATATGCATAACAATTCCCCAACTGAATCCAGGATGGTGATGACCAATGATAACCTCCCATTTCTTTCAGTTAACCCTTGCTTTCCCATGCTTTGCCTTTTTTTTTTCCACTCATGGAATGTGGACGTCCCTGGGTGGCCAGCATTTATCGCCCTTTCCTAGCTGCCCCCTAGAAGTTACCCTTGACAAAATGTGGCAGCACCCCTGACTTGCCTGAGGACTACTCACCTCAGACTCTGAGACTTGGCCATTTGTTTGAAGCACAGACAGTGTGTTTGTTGTGTAAACTGTTGCCACATGCTGTAGGTGCAACATCGATGTAGCACACTGCTGCAGACTAACACTTTCACCCCTTCAATGAACAATAATTGCTGGCAAACCTAAAATATTTACCCTTGCCTCTGTACTAAAAGGCAAGGCAAAGACAGAAGTACTGTGAACCTTTAAGTTCTGATTGAGGTGCACTGGGAAAAAAGGTGTGGTAAGCATCCAAATAGGCGCAAAGTAAGCGAGCACTAAGAAAGCACGCTAAGAGCCCTGAGACATACTTTAGTGCGAAACAAGATAGTCATTTGTCCCTGCTCATAAATTGATCTGGCAGCAGCACTGCAGTGAAAGGTGTTGCTGAGCTCCAAACGTGTAGGACTGAAGTAGTGAATGATATTTTAAATGAATCGGAGATGTGCCGTGAAGATGTGAGGGCCAACCTCGTCCAGTGCCAACATCCAAGGAGAAAGAATGCAAGCAGTGATTGGCCACAGAACGTGTCCTGAGATGTTAAGGAATACTGGCCGGGATTCAAGCCCCCGGAAGATGCCATTGTGCTGGAGCTGCCAGGTACCTGCACAAACTTTCATGTCAGAAATTGTCACTGACTAGTTTCTTTCAACTGCTTGGGAAAATAACAAATTGGATATAGAGGTGAGATATTAATGCATGCAAATAAGACCATTGCCACTCAACCTGAACACTGCCATCTAGCTGTAAACCCTCATGTGCAAAAATCAGACTGTGTTGTTTTTCTCATACAGTCAGAGTCATACAGCACGGAAACAGACCATTTGGTCCAAATCAGTCCATGCCAAACGTAATTGCAAACTAAACTAGTCCCACCTGCCCTTTTCCGGCCCATATCTCTCCAAACCTTTCCTACTCCTGTACCTATCCAAATGTCTTTCAAAATGTTGTAATTGTACCCACATCCACCAGTTCTTCAGGAGGTTCATTTCACACGCAAACCACCCTCCGTGTAAAATATTTGCCTCTCATGTCTTTTTTAAATCTCTCTCCTCTCAACTTAAAAATGTGCTCCCAAGTCTTGAAATTCCCCATCTTAGGGAAAAGACAACTACCCATTAATTCTATCAATACCTCTTATTGTTTTACAAACTTCTATCAGGTTGCCTCGCAACCCTCCTATGCTCCAGTGAAAAAAGTCCCAGCCTTTCTTCTGAACCCTCTCCTGCTTAATAATATCCTTCCTATAATTGGGCAACCAAAACCAGACAAAGTATTCCCCTCACCAATGTGCTGTACAACCTCAACATGACTTCCCAATTCCTATTCTTAAAAGGACTGAGTAATGAAGGCAAGCATGCCAAATGCCTTTTTAACTACCCTCTCTACATGTGACGCCCTCAATGTCAATCTCCTTTTTCATTCTCTCCATATTTTCCCAACTTGCCACTGCTGATGCCATTCAGGGGCTGGGCAAATTCCACCCCTTATATTTAACATATGTTACCATTTCTCTCTTAATGCAAAATTCGGCCAATTGTTTTCAGACTTTTAAATAGGCCAACTGCATCAGTCATATTGCCAATTATGCTTGTAAGGGGAAGGACTAATGACAAGCAAGTGGTGCTGCAAATAGAATGCTATCAACAAAAGAACACTGAACAGTCACTGAACTGCAGTGCTTGTGAAGAATATTTTTAATCTATCTGGAAATCACAGCTTACCAAGTCAGTAATGATTGGTTGGATGTTCACTCCATTACATCTTGCACTTTCCACTGAGCAAGCAACAGCCAAAGGGTTAATATCTGTACATCTATGAATCAAAAGCAATTAAAGACAAATATCAAGGTTCAAATTTCACCTTTTCTACTGTTTCTGTAACCAAATTTCTCAGTGGTTAAAATTTTGAGTAGAAATCATTTCTCTCTTCAAAAATCAAATTCAGTTCTGTAAGAATCTGTTGAGCAGGATACCAAAGTGAATGTTAATGTTGCTTTAAAATCAGTCACTAGAAGCCAACACACACTATTCTCTGTGGAAGGATACACCTCTTATTTGCGCCTTTCCAGATGCCAGTTCTTGAGCAGTATTTATCTATGACAGCCTTTCCTTCATTACAAACAAAAGCTGATGCATTTCTCATCACATTGTAGTCGTAGCCCATAGACATGAAGTTTTGACATCACATATTCATCACTGCACAATAAATAAAAATCTGCCAAATTACCTACTTACAGATAAAACGAGGTAGGTCCAACAATAGAAGCTAGGAATACAGAGACAATGCCAGATCCTGCACCAACCTCGAGGCAGATCCTGGGACTGGAAAAATAACATTATTTTTCTTCGGAAGTGGGCAGAATTTGTACCATAACTACATGGTACAACTTGTTCACAAATTAGCTATTCGTTCACATACAAAAAAAAATTTCAACTGGTTTGTTGATATTTCTGTTAATAATGCAGAATGGTATGCCAAAAACGTATACCTAATTATCACACAATGCTTGAAACTTTATAACTGCACAGTTAAGATTTGATCAGTCGTAAATCATACTGAAAAAAAATTGCGCATCCCTTCCCCGGTGTACAGATTATATGAGGGGTTGGCAACCTGCTGCTCCACAGGCACGTATCAGCCTCGATCAATAAAACCCATTTTACTTGTAATTAAATGGCTGTTGTCTTTTTAAAACTTTTGTGAGAAAGTATCATTCAGTAAAAAGCACTTCAGTGAAAGTCTAAAGTGTTTCTCTGTCCGATATTTCACTGTTATTGAAACTTGACCGACGACTTTTAAGATTTTATAGTTATGAATAGATTTTAAAGATGGTGCTTAAGGTAACCAGCACTGGTTTTAAATCAGACAAGAACAATGGCTGATTGGGTTATGGTCCTGACGGCCACCACCCTTCAAAAAGTTTACTGTGGGAAAAGACTACATTTTAAAATGGACAGGAAAGGTAAGGCTAAAGAGACAACCACTTCCTTGTAATCAACAGACACAATTTAGTACTGTAATTGTTTTTGCTTCATGCAACAGCCACTGTGCTTCCGTTGTCTGACATAAAAAAAGAAAATGCTGAAGAAACTCAGCAGGTCTGGCAGCAGAGAGACAGTCTTATTTCAGATTTCCAGGATCCACAGTATATTGCTGTTAGTGGAGTACTTTTGTTGTCCGTTCATTTGTACTTGATATTTATCAGAAAGACACTATTAAAAACATTTTTGAAAATTGTTAGTCACAATAATTATTTTACTTTTTTTAAAAAATGGAATGAAGTTGTTAGTAGTAGACTTCGAACAACAAGTTGAGTTTTCAGCCCCAAAACATTTCCATCAATCTACCTTCACCCCTGTTACACTGCTAGCCTCTGACCCTACAGCAGCCTATCTCACTGACAAAGGGGCTATACCCTGAAGGCTTACGATTTCAAATAAACCTGTTGGACTATAACCTGGTGTCATGTGACTTTTGACTTTGATCTAAAATCCAATTCATGCATTTGTTAATTGTCAGGCAAATAGTCGTATTTTTCCTAGTTTGCCTTATTTGTTTCCCTCAGATCATCTCAAAACAATGCTGTCCATGTCCTATGTGATACTAAGTTTCATCTATCTCCTGCTATTGTCCTTAGGCACCTATACTGGCTCCAAGTTTCCTAATGCCTTAGTTTAAAATACTAATTTATCTTGTTTTAATTGCCATTCAATAAGAACTTTCTCCATCCTGGTCCCGCATTCCATATATCCTCCCTCAAGACTTTCCTCAAAAGCTTCTGATCAAGCAGTTGGTTACCCCCTTCTATTACCTCCTTGAACTCAACATCTATTTATTTCTGATGCCTCTGTGAAATACCTATGTTAAATGTGCCATGTAAATGTAAAGCAGTCACCTTGCTTAAAACAATCATATCATTTGATGTACCATCAGAAACTGAGCAATGAGAAAGAGTTAATTCAATAATGCAATAACGACAAAACGCAATACTGCACCAAGAAAATAGAAGAAATTTTTTTTTTTAATAATTCATATTGTTATTCTTCAGCTAATACGTACCAGAGTTGCTTTATCTCCTTTATATCTTTTTCCAAAGCATCCATTAATAGGAAGGTATCTTCTGCTGGATCATACACATCAGCATATTCTCCATGGCCAACATGGGGACTGAAAGGTGTTGAAAGCATCTTTCTCTATAAAATAAAGACAAACAAATTTCTCTCTTCTGTATTTAGAATTAGCTGATGACACAAGTAGTTGTTATTATTCCTTACCCTGGTGTAATCTCAAATTAGCATAATATTGGAAGCAGAACATACCCATTCATCACCCAACAGAAATGTGGACATAGAAATATTAAAAAAACAGGAGCAGATCTTTCATCCCTTTGAATCTGCTCCGACATTCAATATGATTACAGCTGATTATCCAACTCAGTAAACTTACCGCTTTCTCCCCATACCTTTTAGTCTTTTTAGACCTAATAATTATATCTAACTCTTCCTTGAAAATATTCAACATTTTTGCCTCAACTGCTTTCTGTGACAGAGAATTCCAGATTCATCACTTTCTGAGTGAAGAAATTTCTCCTCATCTTAGTCCTAAATTGCCTACCCATATCCTTACGCTGTGAGCCATTTGTGCTGAACAACAAGCAATATTCACTAAGAAATATACTTAACCCATGTTTGATTTAAATGTATGTTTCACAGTGTATAAGGGAGCAAAGCATCAGGATCTCATATTTCAATCTAACAGCCCTGGAATTTATTACTAGAGAACAACCATCTTTGAAAATAATACTTTTGCTACACTTCTTCAAAACCATTCTAAAAAAGTCATAACAGAATCGAAATTTTAACTCCACTTCTCTCCAAAGATGCTGCTTGTGGGGTGGTGCTGTGGGTCTGGTTAGGACGCTTTTTGGAGGGTTAGTGCAGACCCAATGGGCCAAATGGCTAGCTTCCACACGGTAGGGATTCTGTGACTGACCAGTAATTAGCTGGGTTGGATTTGTTCAGCTTTTTTTGTACAGGACATACTCACGCAATTTTCCACATAGTCAGCAGATGCCAGTTTTGTAGCTATATTGGATCAGCTTAACTAAGGATGTAGAAAGTGCTGAAGCACAAGTCTTCAGCACAATTGCCAGAAAATTGTCAGGCCCATTGTCACTGCAGTATCCAGTACCTCCAGTTGTTTCCTGCAATCATGCAGAGTGAATTGTACTGCTGATGACTGGTGTCTGAGATGTTGGCGTCGTCTGGAGGAAGCTAAGATGGATTATCCACTGGACACTTCTGGGTGAAGATTGTTGTGAATGTTTCAGCCTTATCTTTTGCACTGACGTGCTGGGCTCAGCTATGACTGAAGTTGGGGATATTTGATACTCCCTAATGGCATTATGGATGTATGGACTGCAACGGTTCAAAAGTCAGCTCACCACTACCTTCAAGGACAACTGGGGATGAATAATACATGCAGGCCCTGTTAGTAATGCCCACGACCAATGAATGAATTAAAAATACCGGTGATCCATATGAGTAGTAAGAAGTGCACAACTTGTTCAGACTGATTTTGTCTGATTCTGCTTCCTTGTGCACCAACCACTTCATCTCTTTATCAATGACTCTTATGCCTTCAGCCATCTCAATCTCTGCTGGGAATTTCCTTCCTATACCCAACCACCTTCTTGTCCTCTTTTAAAGATTCTCCTTTAACCCACCTCTTTAACCAAGCTTTAAATCACCCTTCTTTGCAGCGGGGTCCATTGTTTCAACTGCCTGTGAAATGCCATTTTTCTCCATTATCAATGCAGAGTTGAATTTTGGATATTTTCTCAAAGATCAGAGACTGCTCAGAGATGCTATTACCCACCTCTGGAGCAAGTGGGACTTAAACCTGGCCCTCTCTGTCCAGGGATAGGGACACTACGACTGGACCACAAAGTTGAATTTTAGATTATTCAATAGCACAAGTCCAAATATTTTATGATCCGGTTTCAAAACTCCAGTCCAAAGGGGAAAAACTCAGGATGTCAAATGCAGTCAAGGAGGAAGGCTAGTCTGATTCTACTGATCTTTCCTGATTAGAGAGAGAGATTCTAAAAAGTCAAATCAAAGGAAGTCTCCAGATTTTCTCCTGCCATATGGCATACGTATAGGTGGTAATGTCAGAAGTGAACTTGACCTGCTTAAAAGACTGTAGCTGAGGCTGATCTGACCAATAGAGTAAGTTTTACAGCACAAAAGGCGGCCCTTCAGCTCACTGTGCCCACACTGGTCATTAAGCATCTATCTATTCACATCCCATTTTCAATATGACTTCTTGCCGAATCCGAGGGGCAAACAGAAAGGAGGTATGTTGTCATAGAGTCATACAGCATGGAATCAGACCTTTCGATCTAACTGATCCAGGCCGAGCATATTCCCAAATCAAATAATCCCACTTGCCTGTGTTTGGCCCAAACCCCTCCAAACCTTTCCTATTCATGTACTTGTCCAAATGTCTTTTAAATGTTGTAACTGTACCTGCATCTACCACTTCCTCTGGCAGTTCATTCCATTTACGAACCACTCTGAAAA